GGCAGCTTTCCAGCCTGCAAGGAGCTACTTGGGGTGATTGGAGGCCGGGGGCTCCACATGCATCTGCGTGCACACAGGCATGTGGCTGGCATACAGCCAGGTGGAGTGGTGGGAGCAGCCCCAGAAGCTGGATTCAGTAAATCTATTGGGAGTGGGGTACCTGGGAGATGCTGCCGGGGGGTGGGGGCACAGCTGGAGCAATTCGCACAGCATGGGAGTCCAAGCCCAGAGTAAGGGATGCCACAGGCCTCCCCTCCTACTCTCTCCAGCCTGCACTGGGACCAGACTCGCTCCACAGCTGCCTACAATCATATACTCCCCCCCAACAGTTGTCCTTTTTTTAGAAACTGGAAATATGGTCACCATAACAATATAGTAGAGAACTGGAGGACATTCAGACAAAGATTTGAGCAGTACCTAGCAGCCACAGAATGAAGAAAAAAATATAAATAAATAATATTGGATTTTGCCAGTGGATGTACAAGGAACAATGGTTTCATTTAAACTGGACACGAGTTCAAGTTAATAATTTACTAGAATATACAGAACATTAAATTGGGGCCCAAAGTGAGTCCAACAAACATCAAAATAACTGGCTGTTCACGAACAAATATACCTGTGAAAGGGAGATGCATCGCTATCATCCAAAATAAAAACAGAGTGTACAAACTCCCCTTCATTGTGGTACCTACAGAGGTGACATCAATTTTCAATCTGGCAGCTTGTGAGAAACTTAATCTAGTTAAGCATGTGCTTGTAGTATAAGAAGACACAAAATGCATGTCTGATGGTTCTTGTGGCTGTCACAGCCCAAATCTGGACAATTTTCTTAGAAAGAAAGCAGTTGTTCCAGAACATAAGAAGCAATCATACTCTTATGGGAAGAAATGTAACTACAGACAAATATACAAAAAAGGAAATCATTCTCATCAGTCTGCAGCTAAATGAATTTTGTGCTATGTGCAGAAGAATAGCTGCCAAAAGTATGAGTCAAACAGATCCCAGTTAAAGGATTCAAATCTATCAAATTTTGGAGAAAAAGCTTCTCACCAACAACAAACCAGAAACTGGATCTGATACTTCATCAGTCTGAGAAGAAAATGAAGCCCCCTGAAAGCCTTAGAGACTTATTAAAAAAGTGGGTAAAGATTTGCTCCAAAGTAATGTGCTAGTAATTTTCTCTCTGTAGATGAGTGTGAACTGATTGTTGTGTTAATTGATTTTGTAGCTATTGTTAAAAAGGGAAGATGTAGCAATAGAGGTTGTAGTTTGGAGATGTTCCCTTACTTAGACTACAGAGGTTGGGAATTGAAAGATGGTCCCTCAGTAAGGAAGCTGCTAGCTAGCCAGTCAGCTATTGTGAGCTGAAGGGCTTGCAGTGAGCTTGCCTACAACTCCACAATAAAACTTGGTTTAGTTCTTCTCATTCATGGACATCTCTTTTTTGAACCCAGTGATTACTACATAGACCTTGAAAAACATTTTTTAAAATAAAAAATAATTTTGGGGTTCTTTTTATTTGTCCTCCAATGTGAAAGCTGCTAGCAATCATGGTTTTACAATTTTCTTTATCACTGCAAGGGCTTAAAAGCTTACTTAGCAAAAAAAAACCAAAACAAAAAACCAAAAGATGATGAGATCCTCATGCATACATATGGACTTAGGATCTGGTGTTTTAAGAAAAACAGAAAATATTGTGAGACTATAGTATAGATTATACAGAGCCAAACACAGTGGTGGCAGTAAGCCAGTAGTACAAGATTTTCAGTTATTAGTAGCAAATGTATGTATAGTGGAGTCGCATCATACGCGCATTTAACTTACGCGAATTCAACTATACACGTTTGGCAAAAAACCCAAAAAAACAAAGAAAAAAATTTAAATAGTGCAGGTGATTCCGCCCAGCATTCCACTCAATGAGAGTATGCCCCAGAGTGGGCGTGAGATGGGAGATGTGAATCTGCTGTTCCCTTAGTCGGTCTCAGTTCCTGCGTGCCTCTCACAGTGTGAGCATCTCACCACGCTGAGTGTGATTCTAGTGTTTAAAGATACGTATTTTTCATACAACATGGCCCCTAAATGCGAGCTAACTACTTCATCTGGTGCTCAACCGAAGAAACAGTGATCTGATCCAATGCTAGAGGAAAAACTGGCTGTGTTGGACTTATTGAGAGACGGTATGTTGGTCTCCAGCGTGGTGCGTAAATATAGCTGCAATGAATCTAGCATCTGTGCCATCAAGATTCGAGAGAGAGAAATTCATCAAGCTGTGGCATCAAGTGCTCCAGTAACTGCTAAGGTGATGAGCCAAGTGCATGATAAGACTTTAGTGAAGACTGAAAAGGCATTTAACTTATGCCTGGAAGACATGAACCATAAATGTGTGCCTATCAATGGCAACACGCTGTGAGAAAAGGCTCTTAGCCTCTATGTGCTGTTCAAACCTCCTGCCAAAGAGGGACAGCCTTCTGATGAGAAGGAATTCAAAGCCAGCCAAGGTTGGCTTAACAGTTTTAGGAACCGCTTCAACCTCAAAAACGTGCAGACTACTGGTGAACCTGCATCTGCCGATGAAGAGGCAGCAAAAGCCTACCCCAAACAATTAAAGAAAATCATAGAAGAAAAGGGCTATCTTCCGGAACAAGTTTTTAATGCTGATGAGACTGGGCTTTTCTGGAAAAAACTGCCCAACTGCACTTATATTTTGAAATCAGAAAGACAAGCCCCTGGCTTCAAAGCAGCTAAAGACCGTGTGACTGTGTTGTTTTGTGGCAATGCAGCTGGGCATTTAATAAAGCTGGGCTTGCTCTACAGGACTGCAAATCCCCGTGCCCTAAAAGGCAAGAACAAAAATCTCCTGCCTGTGTTGTGGCAATCAAATAAGGCTTGGGTGATGGTAGCATTATTTCTGGATTGGTTCCACAAGTGTTTCATTCCGGAGGTCAAGCGGTACCTCGAAGAGAAAGGACTTGACTTAAAAGTGTTGCTGATCATAGACAACGCTCCTGGCCACCCTAAGGCACTCTGGTTTGTGCATAACGATGTTGAAGTCGTCTTTCTTCCCCCCCAATACCACCTCCATCCTCCAACCTCTCGATCAAGGCTTGATTCGCTGTTTCAAGTCCACGTATACGAGGCTTATGTTCTCACAGATACGTAGCGCTATGGATGCTCAACCCAACCTTAATGTGATGGAGTGTTGGAAGCCCTTCAACATTGCCAATTGCACCACTTATATTAAACAGGCAATGGATGCAATCAAGCCTGAAACAGTCAATGCATGTTGGCGAAACCTATGGAAAGAATGTGTGAATAATTTTAAGGGTTTCCTGACCATTGATAAAGAAGTGAAACGCATTGTTCAGGTGGGCAGACAAGTGGGTGGTGATGGCTTCGTCAACATCCTTGAGGAAGAAATTGAAGAATGAATTGAGGGCCATAGAGAAACATTGACTAACGAAGAGTTAGAGGAACTGATAAAATTGTCTACAGAAGATGAAGATGATGACGAGGAACAGGAATAGCCAGCAAGTTGGAATCTTCATAAATTTGCTGAAGCGTTCCAAGCAGTGAAACACTTGAATGATTTAATTTCTGAATATGATCCCTCTATAGAATGAAGCCTCAAAATCACATGTAGTATTATGGACTATTTGAGACCATACCAAGAAATGTTTGAGCAGCTCAAGAGACAACAGTGACAGTTGCTGATCACCATGTTTTTCAAGAAAAAACAACCAGCAGCAGATGAGCCTATGCAATCAACTTCTTGAGCTGAACCAGAGCCAACTACTTCATCTATGACTCGCTCTCTGTAATATTGACTATACGCAATTTTCGCCTTACGCGCTGATTCTGGAACCTAACCCCTGAGTAAGATGTGACCCCACTGTTCTTCAATTTGAGACACTTTCAAGATAATTTACAGAAAGTTCTGAGCAACACTTCTCCCAGAATCAATCTGTTTAATGTATCCCAAGTTACGCACCAAAAATGGAAGCACCCCCCACTAATGATCTTTTCCATAATAAACAAGAATGGTATTAAAGAAAACTATATGTTACTGGAAAATACTTTTCTATTGTGAATGATACTGTCATTTAATTTTTTTCGTGGATGTGGTAGATTCTTTCTAGTTATTCAATTACTAGATAGTAATAGATGTCCTTGGCTACCAGACTCATAGCTAACAGACTTCTCAAAACCTAGCACAGTCAGCTCCTTAATTTATTTGAGGAATCAGTCAGCTTGGGGACTAAGATGAACAGTTCTGCTTTGGTTCTTTTAGCTCAGATTTTCTTTCCTTGAGAATTTTCTCTGGCAAAATAATTCAATTTGTTGATTTTTTTATCTTGGGGCTAATTTATTTATCTCAAATTTGTATTTGTCAGGATGAAATTCTGCTTTTCAGTGGGGCTGTGCAGAGCTTTGGTTCCTGATTCAATTCCACAGCTATTCAGCCCTATTCAGTGGCTGAATCTCCGAATCTGAATTGAATAAGGAGACCCTTTAATCACTCTGAATTAAATTGGAACCCTTCAAATTAATTCGGAAAGATTCGAAAAGATTCGGCAATTCAGATATAGACACAGCTTTAAATTTTTTCTACATACCTCAAGGTACCAGGCAGCTTGTGAATGCTGCAATGGTGAGGAAGATGGAGTGTCCCACAGGAGTGTGGGGGGCTCTCCAGTGTGCTCAGTGGCAGACCCGGAAGTGGATCAGAAGTACTTCCAGTCCACTTCTGGGTCTGCCAGGGAGCACCCTGGGGGGGGCCCTGGCACCCCCCCAGCTCGGCAGCTGGTGCCTCCTGGGAGTCTCCCTGTGGCCAATTGCCAAGCTGGGGTGGGCATGGGCCCCCCCCCAGTGCACTTGGCATCGTACCCAGAAGTGGAACTGGAAGTACTTCTGGCCCACTTCTAGGTCCACCTCTGAGCACATGGGGGCACCCCCTGCACTCCTGTGGGATACTCCATACACTCCAGCATTGCAGCATTCATGAGCAACACCTGGTATCTTGAGATATGTAAAAAAAAACATTTAAAGCTGTGACTATGGCAGAATTGCTGTTCTATGAATTAGCATTGAATCTTCAGATTTGGATTCTGCTGAATTGAACCAGGGAAAGTGATCCAAATCAACAAATCAAATCCATGTCCCCAGTTTGGGCCAAATCTGAATAAAAAATGACCCATTTTGCACACCCCTACTTTTCAGCTACCTCTAGTCAGAGCATCAATGTATAATGACAGAATATTATATGCTAAAGGCAGTTCTTAGAGATAATATCCTTCTGTGAGATTAACTTTCTTCCCAGTGGTGGAGTTGTGGGTAAGAAATTAAGAAATTTTGGTTGGACTCAACATACGGCCTTCTAGTACCCTTGCCTGGTAATCAAAGATTTCTATGTGATGTTTGTCAAGATTTTGTCTGTAACTGTTATTATGTAGACATTTTTTGCTGTGTTAGAAGTTAGAATGCAGGACAGTTCATTTGTAGCATCTGACACAGTAGGTTGTAGCCCACAAAAGCTCATGCCTCTCTGAACACATTAGTCTATAACAGGGGCAGGCAGTTATTTTGGCCAAAGAGGCACTTAGGGAATTTTGCTAAGCAGTCGCAGGCTGGGCCAGCACCCCCCTCCTCTCCCAACAGCTTACCAAAACTCCCTGGTGACACTGCTCCATGCTCTCCTGAGTGGAAGGCAGCGAGTTGTGTCCAGGACTGGGACAGGTGGGTGGGGCCAGGGTTGGGATCTTAGGGTGGAGACAACATGGGGCCAGCCCCTGGGGCAGAGCCACGGTCTGGTACCCACTCATGCCCATGGAACCAATGCTTGTCACAGGGATGTGCAAGCAACAGATTATGGCTCTGCCCTGGGTCACAGCCCTGCACTGTCACTGCCCTGTGATCCTACCCTGTGATCCTGGCCTCACCCATCTGTCCTGCTCCTGGATACCGTTCTGCACCTGCCTGTGACCCCGTTACATCTGCCTGGCCATGTGCCCTTCCCATGTGAGTCTCACCCCTGGTGGTGGGTACAGAGTGGATGAGCTTGGGTGCCCAGGCAGCAGAGTGGATGAGCTGGGGTTCAGTGGCAGCAGTGCTGCTGCAACTGGGGCTGATGGGAAGTGAGTCTGGCTACCACACTGCCTCTGCCTTGCTGCATGCCCAGGGGTGGCAGGACTGGCTGTATGCACCATGGCCATGGCTGCCCTCCATGCTTGGACTGAGCAAAGCCAAGGGACCTACTGCGGGCCAGACAAAATTCCTTGGTGGGCTAGATCTTGTCCACAGCTGTATTGCCATCCTGTTCTGCCTTCTGTTGCTATTGTGTGATCTTTGTTTTTTTCTGATATCTAGTTCACATAAAGAGTGCTATACTTTTTACAAGGATGTATTTGCACTGGCACTCAGAAATGCATAGCACAGTTCCCTAGTTTTGTAGGGCCAATAAAACTTATTGTTGCACACTGCAAATGGCTTCATTTGGAAGCATTTTATAGCATTTCTTAAGAGCAGTGATTGGCTAAGAAGCTTCTTTCTCAAGCTTAAAGAAGCTGACATTTCTAATTCTAAATTTGTGGTCCAAACAATGTCAGTTACTTTGACTCTATGTGTACGTGTATGTGTATATATCTACATGTATATGTATACACATATACATGAAATAAGTATGTGTGTATGTAAATATATAGGAGGGGATCCAGAGAGGCGCATTTCCCCCCTGCCCCTTTTACCTCTATGCTCAGTGCACGTGCTCTTTTCCCATTCTCCCATCTCTTGCTTGTCACTGCCAGTGTCCCTGCATCCCTGGGCATGAAGGGAGTTTTTGTCTCACTGCAACTGTGGTGCACAGGACAGAGATGGTGGCAGGTTCCCTCTACATACCTGTTCCTTCCTAGATATTGCCTGACAGCCTGGAAGGAGGCATGAGGAGCCTCGCCCCTGTGCAGCCCAGCTGGAGCAGGGCTGGAATTCTGTTCACTCCCTGGGACAGTGGGGACACCAGCAGCAGCACACAAGGGAAGGGAAATGGGAAGAGAGAGGAGGGGAGGAGCTGGGCAGAGGACTTGCCTTGGAATATAAAGGGGAAGGGAGAGTAAGAATGCTTGCTTTCTTCTTGATTTAAAGTCCCCAAGTGCTGCTCTTGGGGTGCAGTCCATCCACTTTGGTGGGCAGGAGGGGAAGGAGGGCCCTGCAGGGTGTTGCAGCCAGTCCTGCAGCTCCATTTGCTAGTCCAGCACCCCCATTTTTAAAATCCTGGATCTGATTCTGTAGATACACACAGAGACACACACTCCTTGTTCGGTGACATACCAGATACTGTGGGGTATGATTTTGGGAGTAGGAATACTAATATTTGGTGAAGGGTGTTCAAATGGACACTCTTCTGTTATGAACACAAAGTAATGCCTGTGGGCGCTTGTCCATGTTACACCTCTCCTGTTACCAGGTTACATTTTTCCTGTGTCTATGAACAAATATCACCATTAAGCTAGCTAAATAGCATCTGTATATCCACATTGTCAGCGGATTCTATTGTTTTAGATTTTTTTTTATTGTGGTAATTTAAAACACCTCTGATATGTTTTATTTTTAGCTGCCAAATTTCTTCCATGAGGGATTTTTTTATCACTTTAAATTTTCAATGTGGATCTGACTTACACCCAAAAACATGATTTTCCCTGATTTGCAACTATTACACCACCAGGTGCTGCTTGGGTTCACTTGGTAATCCATGGAAATCCATTGAATCTCTAGTGTGATACTTCAACAAGACTCTAGGGGCTAATCTTGCAATTTTTTACTGGTGATTTAGTTCAAGGTTCAGATTAATGAAAAATACAACTTTTTTGGATTCCAAAAAAAAATTGTTCCCTGTGTTTCCATGTATTTGGGGGCAAAGATCAGAATGTTATGGGTCAGGCAGTTCAAGACTCAGGCTAATTAAAATTACACTAAAAGCTCTGTTATCCAGCATCCCCTGGCAATGGGGGATGCCGGATAACAAAATACGCCAGTTAATTGAACAGCCTGAACAGGCGTTCTTGCCTGTTTGGGCTGCTGCTTCTCTCACCACATCTGGGGTGTCACCACCCCTCCTGCAGCTTCACTGACCCTCCTGCGGCAGAGCCAACCCTCCTGCGTGCCCTGCGAGCCCCATGGGACGGAGTTCGACCCCATGCAGCCTGCTATGCCCCAGGCCATGGGGGCTCAGCAGTGCAGGCTGCTTTTCCCCAGGCTGTGGGGGCTCAGAGAAATTGGAAGTGCTGTGGTGGGTACTTCCAGTTTCACATTACCTTATGAGCCGGCATGCCGGTTAATAGAACATGCCAGCTTGTAAGGTGCCAGATAACGGAGCTTTTACTGTACATTTTGTTGTACTGGGTTTTTGGTTTGGCAGAGCTGG